GATTTCCAGCTATGATGGCTAAACTGAAATGTTACGACATCTGCCCTATTTTTCAGGCAATTTCTCAACATAAAAACCAATGCCAGTTATTCAGCATGTAGCTTACTTAACTAAAGCATTGGAAGAGCAACTGTGATATCGAAGCTTAACCAGATGAGTTGAAAAGGAGGGAGAGACATTTTTCTATTGGAAGAATATGTGCTAGGACAGGTCATAGAATTAGGGTTCTGGTCTTGGCTCTTCTATTAAACTAGCTATGAACCTCAGCCGAATTTCTCTCACTTTGATTTCTTCTTCATTATAAAAGGGGTAGTTTTAGATCAAGGACTAATTTGGGTTCCAAGGAATAGTATCAAGAGGTCAATGAGACCCTAAAAATTATTGGCAAAATTTGATGTATATGTGGCTTTTTTTTTGAGAAGCAGTTTTGTGGTTTTTATCAGGTTTTCAGAGGGGTCTGGGACTCAAAATTTTAAGAACCATTGATTTAGACAGTCTCTTAGCTTTTCCCCAGTTCTGACAATCTTTGACTGTACCTTGAAAAATGCCTGTCATCATTAGATATATTCATGAAATACGCTCATGTGTACACTGCCCAGCTGAGCACAAGACAAAAATAGGATGAGACAAGATATAAGCCTACTGGGAATATATCATTATTATGACCATCATCATTAATGTGGGAAGACGAGGGAAGGACATGGAATCCTACAGAGACTTGTCATTATACCACAGACCAAAGGACTATGCATTCCAGCCTTCCTCAACCTCATTTTCTGGGAAACCAACCTCCTTCCCCATCCTGGCAGAAGCTTCAACAGGGAAGGCTCTTGTTAATCTGGTACTAACACATTCATTATAACAAAATAAATTTACGTAACAAATATATTATCTGGTCCCTGTCCCTGTAATGTTCTACATAGAATCTTTTAAAAATGGGACTTGGTCTTATTTGCATTAATGGACAAAGAAGCACAAGAGGAAGCTGAATTTAAACTGGGCTCCTCACAACTGTGTTGTCCCACAGTCAAAGAGTGATAATACTAAAATCTTTCACCTCTCTTGACATTAAATGCTTCAAAAGTCTCAAAAAATGTGATTCTCTCTTAAGAAACAGTTCACAATGTTCATGCAGGTACCAAAGGTAGTACACAGAAATGAGATACAGTCCCGGTCTTCATGGAGCTTACACTCTAATGGGATATTGGATAAGCACTTGGATCACCATGATACAAAGTAGCATAAGAGGAAGGCTTGGGATTCAAAGGAAGGGAAGAAAGAGTTTATTCAGCTGGTGAAACCATGGACGGGCGTATGGAGGAAGCGGCATTTGAGGTGAGACTTGGAGGGTGAACAAGATTTTGATCCACAGGGACAGGAAATAAGGAGGCGTTTTTGGTGGAGGGATTATTATAAACAAAAGCACAGAAAATCAGAAAGAAGCATGGGACTTGTTTAGGGCACAGGAAGGAATCCAGGTTCCCCGAACAGTTATCTGGGGGTGGGTGGAGGAGGAGTCGTGAATGATATTGTGTAAAATCTTTGATATCAGAATACAGTGTTTGTGCTCAATACTAAAAGCAATGGAACTACTAAAGATTTTCGAAGAAGGGAGAAAGATCATAGAATTACAGAAATTTTGAATTCAGTATCCCCCACCCCACCCCTACCCCTATTTTAGACAACAGAGTTAGAAAAAGAACCCAGAGAGCTTGCCAGATTCTTAAGTTCAAGCTCCTTGCATTATATACCAGCTGCCTCACGAGGTTACTTAGATAGCAGTGAGTACGATGGAGAAGAGAAGACAGGCAGGACTGCAATATGGTAGCTACTACAGAAGTCCTGGAGAGAAATTAAGGTAAAATAATGAGGACCTGAACAGCCAAAGAGGGGACCGAGGTGGTGCTCAAAGGAGGGGCTGGGGCTGGAGTCCCCCTTCTCTCTCCTCCATGGGCTCAGAGCACTACTTGTTCATTCACATCAGAGGGGCAGGGCATTTGACCTCACTCACTGGCAGGTCCAGAAAGCCAGGAGTCCATTACCCCATCCCTGTTCAGACTATGAACACTCTCAGCCCTCCCAGATCCCTTCCACTACTGTGCATTCTCTAGGGGGAAAAAAGGCCAGAAATCGTGACAACTGTGATCAGAAGCAGCCCTGGAACTGCCCCTTTAAAGGACCAATAGACGATTTTAGGACTGAAGCAACTCTGTGGGTTTTCTCCCATCCAAGTACTAACCAGGCCCGACCCTGCTTAGCTTCCCGGATCAGACAAGATCGAGCGTGTTCAGGGTGATATGGCCATAGACGCTCTGTGGGTTTTCTTTTTGGCTTTGCTAAAGAGTGCCCAGGCACACTACAGCTCAAAGCCATTGTGCAAGTAAGGACTAAACCAGCCCACAGAACTGCTTCCCCTATGGGCTTCCGACCCATGCAGGGCTGTCGACCAGAGAGGAGTTCCTTCAGCCTTGCTCTCCTCAGATGCCTATCTCTTCCTGGAACAGTTCAATCAGCTTAGAGCCAGGATGTCATAAGTCTGAGTATGCCTGAGAAAGGCCAAGATATGGCAAAAGCTTAATAGTAGGCGTGAATAAAGAAAACCCTTTTGTACAGAATTCTACACCAGCAGTGCTCTTTTCTACCTGGCCTTTAGTTTATAACAATTTTATAAAAACAGACCCAAGGAAGAAATGATGAGAGGTAGGTTCTCTATAAAGGTAGAGTATCAATCCAACAGCCTATTTTCTCATCAGAGGCATAATTCCATAGAGTTGGCACTCAATAAAGAAGGCCAGTAAATCAATAACATCTCTTGATCCACGTCTTAGTCAGCTCCTTCCTTCTCGTGAACTAAGAGAATGACCATCATTGATGTTCACAACCCGACACACCAGGAGATTTCAACTGACCATGTGGACCAAAGTCACTTTTCTCTTGCCACTGTAAATTGTGCCCGACACAGTGCTGGAATACAGCAGGTGCTCAAAAACTGGTAGTTTTGTTTCCTTTCCCCAGACTACTCCTACAGGGTAAGATCACACTGACATCTGATGCTGGGAGAGGAGGACTGAACTGGCTTGGATGCGAGAATATCTTTGAGTCATTCTGCAGTGACGGGAGGCTGTCCTGCATGGCGCTTTAGCAAGTACTCTTTGGAGACAGACAGCCTACGATCAAATCCCATCTCTCCTAATTATGAGTTGTGGCCATGAGCAAGTTACCTGATCTCTTTATACCTTGATTTCTTCATCTGTAAAATGAGGGCCATAATAATGGGCAACCAATGGGGTTGGCGTGAAGAATAAATGAGTTAACAAGACAGTACACAGAAAGTGCCCAGGATAGCAAGGACTGAGTGAATGCTAGCTGTTCTTAATAGGGCGACTCTGAAGTTTCATTCTACTGAACATCTGGTGACTGGTAGCTTAGTGGTAGAGGCCAGTAAATGTGACAAAGGTGCCGTACAGCTGTGCCAGCTGCGCACAAGCACAGTATTGCAACGCTTGGCTAAAAGAACCTAGAAAACAGCCCCTCCCCACCTGCCCTACTTGAGCAACAGTTTGGGTTAGTCCACCTCTTTTATTCCTCTAACTCGGGGGTGGTTACCGGCCTGAGGCTGGCCTAGACAGGCACGCATATGATCTAGTCGGTTTGTAAGGTTTCAAAAAAGACAGAGAACTCTAGCCACCTAGTTCAGGGTGACTTTTTACTGCCCCTTCGCTTTTATTTGGTAGTTCTTCTAGATTCCAGCCTCCCTCAAACTCCTGGTGTTGGAGGCTGTCAGCGCCAGAAGGAACTTCAGACCCATCGAGTTTTTCTGTTTTAGAGCTAAGGAAACAGAGCCCTGGATAAGGAGTAAGTTATCTGAGGTCCCCCAGGTAGTCAGTTCAAAGCTGAGACTAGTTCTCCCACGGCCTGGTGTCCAGGGCAGCACTCTCTTCCCACCCCACCTGGCAGGCTCCCTGATCTTCTGAACTCCAGCTAACTTTGGTCCCCTGTCCAGGTGGACGCCTCGCTTCCACAGTGCATACATAGCACGACTTCTCTTCAGCCGGCCCCGCCTGCCTTCCCTGCCTCAGCCCCCCAGATATTCCCAGTGCCCCTCCTGTCACTCCTGCTGCACACATCCCTGATGTGTCCTGTCCTGCAAACCCGCCTGCTTCCAGCCCAGCGTGTCAGCCTGTGCTTTAGGGCCTCTGAGGCCCAAGAAGCCCACCCCGGGGGAAAACAAGAAAGGAACCATCAAGAAGGCCCCTCCCCTTGCCCCAAAACCCGGTTCAAGAAAAAAGGATAACGGGCCCAATCCCCCCGGTCCCGCCCCCCCAACCCAATTTCCCCAAAGCCTCCCTAAAACCCCCGTGCCCAAACACCCTCAAGCCTGCCCCTCCAACTCAAATTCCTTTGCTCTCTTTTCCTCTCTCCTTTCCAACACTTTCCCTTCCCCTTCCCCGTCCTTCCCCATGTCACTCTCCGCCTTTGACCTTCCGGGTGCTCACTGCGCCCTGCCCTTTTTCCCTCTCGCCTTTCCTCTCCTGCCCTGCCTTTTCCCCATTCCTTGCAGCTCACCCTTCACCACATCTGTTTCTAATATGAGCCCTCCCAGGCGCCTGTTTGAAACAAAAAAACTCCCCCCACCCTCAGGAACCTGGCACAAAAATTCCTGGATAAACCTTCCCTCCCGCAATTCCCCAGTTTTCTCAGATACTCCTGAAACTAAACGCCACCCTAAAAAGGACCCTAAACGTCAGGTTCACCGCCAAACTCGACCAGGAAGCACCCCCACCCCCCAAGTCTGCTCAAGGGCCCAGATGTGAGAGACATTTCGATGGCCGACTGGGCGGTCCTCCGCTGCCAGATGTGCTCCTCCGTGGCCGGGAGGCAGGGACGGAGTCGACTCACTCCAGGGGCTGCGGAGACAGCGGTTCAGAACCAGTGTCCCCCGACGCAGGGCTGCGTGTGCCCGCGGCCCTCCGAACTCCCGCCCTCGCAGAGGCACTCACCTAGCAGGAGGAGGAGGAGGGACATCCCGACCTCCGGACGCGGGCGCTTCCCCGCTCAGCCGCTGCCTGGCTGCGGGACGGCGGGGCGCAGCCGACGGACCTTGGGCGAGCTGGGCGCGGCGCCTCGGGGTGCGCGCGGGGTGGCCGCAGCCATGTGCGGGCGCGGGAGGCGGCCCCGCGCCCTGCGCTCCGGGGCGCAGAGGGGCTTCCAGCGCTCGCCCCACCGGCTCGCGCCCGGACGGGAGCCCAGACCGGGGGCAGGGAGGGGAAGGCGAGGCGGAAAGGCGCTGCCGCTTCGCGGAACACTTTTCCCTGTTTGGAAAGAAAAAGGAGTGAAGAAAGAGACAGGAAAAAAAATTGAGCTGGAACCACATGGTTGCCTCCTACCGCAGCCCCTCCCTCGCGCCCTCCCTCCCTCCTCCCGGCGTTTGGGGTTAGCCGTGGGGGCCGCTCCGCCGGGGAGAAGCGCGAGTTGGCCGGGGCGGGGGCGGCCGAGGGGCCACGAGGGCCGGAGTGATCCCGGGTGGAGGAGAATCCGTCACACTTGGGCCAAGAGTCGATGGATGAGGCCTTGCCAGCGCCTCTCTGTCCGTCCTCACTTTGTCCTCTCCGCCTCGCGCTCACATTTCTTTTGCTCTCACACACACTCTTTCTGCTTCCATTTTTCTCACAAATCTGTCATTTCTCCTCTTCCATCTCTCTCTCTCATCATTTCTTTTATTTACATTCTTCTTGTCCCTCCTTCCTCTCCCTTCTTTTCCTCGCCCCTCTTCCCTCCTCTCTCCTTCCCTCCCGGTCTGGTTTTGTCACTAGGAAACTACCACCCTGACCGCGCAGGCAGCTAAGCGTGGAAGTGTGCAGTGAAGACGGTCACACAACCCGCTGCTTGTTGCTCCTCGGACCCAACTGCCTGCTTTGGCACCGCAGCCACGCTTTCCCTTGGCTCTTCGCATTTCCTCTCCCCGCCCCCTCCCCCACACCTCTGCTGTCAGTATTTGCAGTAGCCCGACCTCAGACCTGGGCAGTGCTAAGCCGGCCATCACCCAAAGGGCGTGGGGATCCAGAGCTCAGCGGAATATGGGGTCCCTTAAGAAGCACTGGAGACGCGGTGGCTCAAGCATGTAAACCTAGCACTTTGGGAGGCCGAGGCGGGAAGATTGCTTGAGGCCAGGAGTTCGAGACCAGCCTGAGCACGAGCGCTACCCCACCCCCGTCTCTACAAAAAAAATAGAAAAATTAGCCAAATTGGCTCGGCGTGGTGGTGCACGCCTGTAGTCCCAGCTACTCGGGAGGCAGAGGCCGGAGGATCTCTTGAGCCCAGGAGTTTGAGATAAGGTTGCAGTTAGCTATGATCCTGCCGCTGCACTCCATCCCCGGCAACAGAGACCCTGTCTCAAAAAAAAAAAAAAAAAAAAAAGAACAAGAAGAAGCAGCACTGGAGCAAACCGCCTTGCACGTGGCCTTGGCTAAAATTTGCATCACCCTCGTTCAGGAAGAAAAGAAAGCAGAGGGAATGGAATTCCATGGAAGGGCCCGCGCTCCGCGGGCGCCAGCACCGCTGCCAGGGAGGCCCGCAGAGGGCGGGGTCCGGGGATCCGAGGATCCGAGCAGCCCGGCTCCTGCATCGGCCTCTAGGGGTCTGCCCTTCAGAACCCTGCTGCCCAGTGGCGGCAAGAGGAGGAGGAAGAAAGGGCAGCGAGGATGGCGCTCAGATCTCAATTGCCTGGACCTCATGCCCTAGGCATCTCAGAAACCCTGGACCTCACTCTCTGCCCCTGGAGGGCTTTTTCCTCCGCCCCACTGGGGCAGGAGGATGCAGTCGCGCGGCTTCTGCAACACCCAAGCCCACACTGGGAGATGGGGCCAGAGCTCGGAGAAGCGCGGCTGCTGTAAGAGAGATTAATCCCTCCAGGCTGCCGGTCACACATTTGCCCTGTGTTTCCATCTCTCTCTCCAGCGTTCTTAATCCTCTCTAACTGGCTAGTCCTTCCCGGTTATAATGAAAACCAGACCCATTTCATAGATGAGGAAAGCAGAGACCTGGAGAGGTCATGGGACTCTCACTAGATCACTCAGATTTGGAAAAGCAAGGGCTATTCTTGGGGTTTGGGGATAAGCTGTAGAGTTGCTTTAGTAGAACTGCAGTATTTCTTCACTCCCTCCTTTAATAACTATTATTCAACCAGCCTGTGCCAGATGCTTTTTAGGCGTGAGGACACAAAGTGAGTAGAACTCGGTAATTAACATTTTTAAAAAATTAGAACAAATATATCATGGGCACCAACTATGGACCAGGGATCATATTAATTATTTACCTTTTTATATAATTCTTATGACAAAGCCAAAGGATAGTCATTTTTAATTTCATTTTAAAGAAGAGGAAACCATAACTTAGGGCTGAATATCTTGCCCCAGATCACAAAGCATTAAAATCCCTCTATTCCAATATCATTACTTTAATATTTTTAAATATTATTTTTATATAAAAAAGTATTTAAAAGCTCTCTTTGACTCTGAAGTAACTTTATTTTCCATTTTATACTTATTGTCTAATAAGGAAAATAGACGTATTCACAACTATAATTTGCACATGAATATGTTGGCAAAAACAATTCTTAAAGGCTGAAAAAGGTCGCAGGGCAGCCGCATAGAGAAGGCAATTTTTTGTTGTTTCTGCTTTACAAGTTTTTAGACTTACAGACATTTCAGACTTACAGAAAAATTGAAGCAATAATACAAAAATTCTTCATCCAGATTCCCCTTTTTTATTTCTCTCTAGAGGGGGTATTTTTGCACAAGTTTTTAAAGCCCCACTTCTACTCCGTCACTGCTGATGGCCTTTCTCAAGAACTTGGTAACAGGATTGCTGTTTATTGCTCGAGGGCTGGTGTGCACACGAAGACAGATGTGTGTGGGTGTAGGCAGATGTGTGTTTAAACCCACATTGCTCAAGCTGAAGGTAACAAGATGCCTTCAGCTCTAGGTCATTAGTCACCGACACAGGAAATGATTAGCCTGGGCTGAGATTGGGTCATAATCGCTCAGTTTTCCCAGTTCCAAAGTCTTGTAGGCAGGAGGTATTTGGCACATATTTCTTGGGGAGGGTCTTTGAGTCCCTGGAGATGACTGTCCCTAAATCCGAAGTCTTTTTTCTGTTGTCACACGTCTGCGGGCCAAAAGAGCAGAGTGACAGTTTCTCTGGGGCTGGTTTGTAGCTCAGCAACCCATCGCCTACCCGCCTGGGCCCCACACTGGACTGGGTGCCACGGGGGATCCGAAGAGGTATGTGCCAGTCCTTATCCTAAATGGACCTCTCAGTCCAGTGGGAGAGAAAACATCAACATGTGAAATGTTTCAACAACCATACAAGAAAGTTATGCAGTTAAGTGCCAGAGCAAATTATCCTGACAGTAAAAAACAAAACAAAACAAAAAAACAGCTGGGATTCCAAGAAAAGAAGGAGCCCCTTAGGCTGGGGTGATTGTGAAGGGGATGGATGCTAGAGCCAGGCCTTGGGGGGTGAATAGAATTTCTTTAGAGGAGAGGACCTGAGGAGGCCAGCAGCGGGGGCATTCCTGGGTAAAGACAGAGAGTTAGGAATAGCTTTGGTGTATTTGGGAAGCATTGAATGGAATGAAATACACGAAATAAAAATTTGGTGCTGGAGCAAAATGCCCTGGAACAGTTGGCCTGACGCAGTATTGTGAGGGCTTCTGAACGTGAGGCAAAAGATTCTAGAACTCGCTCTGCAGCTTCTCTAGGTTCACGGAAAAAAATGTTAACAAAAAGTACCTTGATGAGAACCATATTTTAGGGAGTGTAAATTGGCAATTTCTGCCCACAAGTGACCCCGCTGTTGGCCAGAGGTGGAGAACTTCAGCACCCCGTTCATGTCCATCAAGCTCCCTGCCCTCTTGCTTTAATATGGAGAACTGAAATTGTCTCAGTATTTTGCAAAGTGATATGCACATGCAGCATCAAGACACTCTTCTCATCCTCCCCACTTTCTGGGGATCCAGAGAGTGCCACCCTAAACCTCTCCTCTGTAGGGATGCTAGAGCCACCATGGGAGTGCATGATGCATTGGAAGGGAAACCTGAAGGATACAAACTGGTTAGAACCTATTGCATTAAAGTAGGCAGTTAAGATGAGGGAATTGAAACAATGCGGAAGACATGTGGAAGAAAGATCTGACAGGGTTAACTATCTAATAGTCATTGTGGGCGGAAGAGGGAATGGTAGACAAAAGAGGCACCAAGGATGAGTATAAGTGATCTAATATATCATTGTATGTGCTAAGATTGATAGCAACCATGGTATTATGAGGCTTGTTAATGAAGCTTATACCATATTACAATGACAAAGCTAAGGTTCAGAGAGATTAAATAAATTGCATATTATCCCATGGTTAGTATACAATTGAGGCACAATATGAAGTCAGAAGATTCAAACCTCTTATACCTCACTACTTTTTGATGGTACTGCTGACAAACTAGGGAAGTCGGGTGAGTTAACTTGTCAGGAACAGAAAGATGAATTACTCAATTACTTTGAGACATGATAACTTGGAGGGAGTTCTATACCAACATCTGCCCATCCCTCCATCCATCTTTCCATTCCTTCTTTCAATCACTAATTCAGAAAATCTCTGTCAAACACCTACTATGTGCCAAGCACTGGAAGATCAATGATAAACAAAGGAAAACTTGTCCTTGCCCTCCAGAATCTTCTAGTGAGTTTTGGGAGATAGATGACAAACAACAGTCACTGTGTGGAGTGTGAAATGCTCTGATGGGGACAGTGCAGAGTGCTGTGGACGTCACCGCAGGAGCCTGTGCCTGGAGCCGGAGAGGCCAAGCAGGACAGCCTGAGAGCAAAGTGCCATGAACCCAGGAGGAGGGGAGTGTGACGGGAAGAGGGAGACCCGCGCTACTCTCTCATCTCATAGGATACCTGGGAACCATGGACCGCATCTTCTATTAACCTTTTTGAGATGTAGTATCCACCTATGCCCCGTCCTCACAGATGAAGATACACGTCACGAGGATATTTAGGAGAAGGCAGCAGTGGGATGATGGAAAGAGTTCTGGGCTAACAGGCGGAAATTCCGGGCTCTTAGTGGCTCTGAACAGCTCCCCTGACTTCCCTGAGCCTTCCTTTTCTCTTTGTCCAACACTATTATGAGGAAGAAATGGAATTATGGCGAAGGCACCTACTGCGGTGTCTAGCACGTAGGAGACTCAGTAAACATTTGCTCCAAGTGAAACTGAAGTCGAGTTCACAGGATTCGATTCCCGGCAGTAAAAAGAGCCAATTTCTGTCTCATTTCCTTTTTCTATTAAAACGAGGTTATCTTTATATAGACACCTTTATAAATTCTTTCCTGTCCTGCGAGGATGCTTCTTGGCTTGGCTATTCGGTGTGTTGTTTCTCTTTTTATGGCTGGACAGTAAGAGACCCCAGCTGCTTTCAGGGTCTTGACTGGACAACTTTTATTGAGGCTGTGACCGAGAACCAGTGTGCTAATGGAAACTAAGGAATAAGGAGTTCTCCTGACCAAGGTGGAGAAAGCAGCTGTTCTCTCTCCAAAGGGCCTGGGAGCAGAGGAAGAGATGAGAGTGCCTGGGACCTGTTCTGTCCACACGGCCTGTGGGGAAAGTCCCCAGCTCTGATCTGTGTGGTCAGCTGAAGAGGCAGGGACTTTGTGGGGCTGCTGTTTCTTGTAGGACATTTGTTGGTGAAGAAAAGGACCCAGCCCCCATCTGCCTGCCGGCACTCAGGCTGCACAGGCCTGTCCCGTGACCCCAGTGGGGCTTTTAAGGGAGCCAGTGGGAGAGTCAAAGCCAAGCTGAAAACCAGAGAAGGTTTATATAGCACAGAGCCTAAGGATTTACAGTAGGACTTTTTGCTCTGCAGAAGCTACCTTTGCTACTTTTGCTAGTGCAAAAACTCCTCCCACGTCCTATTTTCAGTTTCTACTAAAGTAACACCCTTGGAGAGGCAGTTTAGAAAGGAAGATAGGCTGATTTTGAATTCCGGCGACTGTCCTGACTGTGCCTAACTTGGGCACATTTCTTAACTTCTCTCAGCCTACATTATTTTGTCTATACGATTTCTCTTATGGTTGTTGAGAAGATGACATGAGACTACATAAAGAAAGCACCTAGGCCGGGGTACATCGGTGCTCAGCAAGTTGGCTCCCTTCTCTCTTCCCGCTTAATGAATGCAGCAAAACATGCCATGACTCCAGGATACATTGTAACTGGATCTGCAAGGATCCTTTCCCCTCTCAAAGAAGGGGAAGATAGCATCTCCTTCCTTCAGAGGTGGAATTGAAGTCTAGATTTCCTTAGAAACACATAACAAAGGAGTAGGAAAAACTACTCCTGAGTTCTCTCCCTTCCTTACATCCTTCCCCAGTCTCCGAGTTAAGACCAAAAGCAGAAGGTTTTCCTTTGGCTGATGGTATTCAGAGAATAAACCACAAGACAAAGCCATCATGAGGGAGGCAAATGAGACAGGTAGGCAATACATTTCAGATCGTTAGAGCAAAAGGGTTCTGAGAGGTATCTGATCTAACTTCCTTATATTACAGAAAAGCACACAGGCTCAGAGAGGAACAACA